CTGCCTTATGGGTTCCATTTCTTTTCTATGCTGAGCATTCCTGACTTCCATAATCTTCTTGAGCTCCTCTATTTTTTTGTCTGTATCTGCTCTAGAGTCATTAAACATGATGTTCTTTGTGGACACCATCTCCGCAGTTATCTGAAAAATTATTTCTGCTTTGATTTTTTTCTAGAGCCTCATTTGATTGCTTTATTGTTACCACTTCAGAGAGGCCAGGAGGGTGGTTTTTGGGTTGTCCCACAACATTGCCTCCTTGGTTTGTCTTTGATGAACTGGATTTCTGGGATTGCATCTTGTTTAAGTGTCTTCTCTTTTTCTTTTCTTTTTTTTAGTACAATTCCTGGGGGTGATGCTTGTAAATTGCCTATGGTAGGTTGCTTTATTGTTATTATTTTGAACCCTTAGGAAGTGACTACTTCTCTGAGGTATCTTCCAGGTACAGCTGTTTTGGGGGTTTTGAGTCTGTTGCAAGATCTTACATCTGCAATTTGATGGGGATGAGAAGTTGCTGCCTCTTTGGCCCAGCCCCTGGTTCTTTGGCACCATGCCATAGTATTTTCTGTGACCCTTAGTCAATCTCAGTCTTGGAATACCAGGAAGAACAGCTGATTAGAACAATTATGTCACTTTTGGCTACAGTGACATTAGCATTAACCACAGCCTAGAAAATAACAAACTGAACTAACCATTAATTTGCCACCTTTAACCATATGAACTAGATTTGTGATGATATAACAAAATCTAAAACAAAATAAAAAATTATATGAAGTATACAAGACCTTAATGTGTCAAATTTGCCTCAGGGGTTAAAATTTAAAATGGGTCAGGGAGAAAACAGAGAAGTGGAAGAAGAGGAGGAGATTAGAAGTAGGCTGGAAGACAAAGGGGGATCATGCATACTTTGGGAAATAGGTGCAGAAGACTGGAGGGAAAGAGAGAAGGAAGAGATAAAAAGAAGAACAGAATAGAACCAGAACCACAAAGAGGCTTGAAACCATATTCACACTCATATAAAAACAAGATCAAACAATGAAGGAGAAGAAAACAAAAACAAAATACCAAAACAAAACCACCACCCCAATAATAAAACAAACAAGAAAGAGAAAAAATAAAGTCAACTTCCAAGTAGTCTCTGCTGTAAGTCACTGGTAGAGAACGTGTGGAGATAGAGTCCCGATCTGTTGATTTATCTCAGCAAGCCAGCTGTAGCTTTTTTGTGAGTTAGTGGGTAATCTCAGTGAGCCTGCACCTTCTGGCCAAGACCAGACTCATTTGCTCTGTAGCTGTGAGCACACCCTCTTCCTTGGGCTTGAGCCATGCTGGGAGCCATTAGACAGAGCCAGCAGCCATTCTGAGTTCTGAGTTCAGCCAGCCCCTCTCCAAGATGCCTCCTGGCACAGGATGACTGAGCCCTTAGCAGTCACCACCAGCTAGTGAAATCCTTCACACCTGCTGCCACCTTCCACTGCTGCATCCCTCATAGAGGCCTCTAGGGTCACCAGCAGTCACCATGTGTCCACAGGTTTGAATCACTCCTTTTGTGTAGTGAGTGCCATCTCAGGGAGAAGGCTACGTCCTTCTTCTTTGTTGAAATTTCTCTTTTCACTCTTTCTGTAGGCTTCAATTCATGCTTCTGATCTTTCCTAGTTCCAAGCAACTCACTTCCCTCCTTCTTGTCTTCTTAATGTTGCTATAATCTGGCATCTGCATGGCAACTCTCAGAAAGGCTCCTTCTCTGCTGCTTACCACTCTGCCATTCTGGACAAATTGCATAGTGTCTGAAGAAAAAAATTCCATGTTTGGTATCATCATTGGATTGAAGCAAGACACATAGCACAGCATGCACACACACATACACACACACGTGTGTGTGCATGCACACAGGCCTTAATATCCCTAAAGGACATTACAGATAAATGTATATAAATATAGGAAAAATGTAAGGTAAGATAAAAATCATTAAATCAAACAAGGAAGCTACCCTCTGAATGATTGCCCTCTATTTCTTTTTTAGTTATTTGCTTAGGAGCCAAGAAAGGAAGTTATCCTATACAAATACAGTTGTCTGCATAATTTGTAACTTAAGAAATGCATCATGTTGTGTCCCATATCAGACCTTTCAAATTACTGTTGCTCAGGCAGTGATCCCTTTGGCCTCCACTGCTTATCTAACCACCTGTCCATCTTCAGATTTAGGCTTCCGTCTTTTCAGTCCACCATCAGCTCCACTGTCAGTCCCCACTGCATGCTCTCAGATACCATAGGTTCACCCTTAGCTGGGAAATCCTTCTGTTGAGAGACTATTTGCCTCTATTCTAACCCATTGAGATTAAAACCTTTGTCTTGTATACTAGTACATCCAACGACTAATACAGAACAGGCATAAAAAGCTATTCAATAAATATAAATTATATAAAAGAATATGAACTTATTAAAAAGATATGTACTTATCATGAATGCTAAGACCATATCTGGGAAATCAAATATCTATGATCATGAATTATTGTACACCTTCACTACCTATGATTTGGTCAAGTTATTAGAATCCCTATGCATTTCTTCATCAGTAAAATTTACATAGGACAGGATCTACCTCAGAATATTTTTATGATTCTAAATGAGCTGATACAGATAAAGTGCTTAGAACTGTGTCTGGCACACAGTCTCACAAACTGTGAGTAATATTATTACTATGCCATACCTGTTTGTATCACTTCTTTTTTCAACTCCACCTCCAATTTATTTTCTTTCGTGTATGTGAATACACAGAAATAAAAGCAGATTTTGAAAGCTGTAATTATTTGATAGTATCATTATATCACTTTTTTTTTACAAAGTTTCTATGAACTCTTTAGGAGGCAAAGATTGTTTTCAGAGAAAAGATGCTAAGTGAAACGAGGTTCCAATACCTAGATTGAAGATGCTCACCTCAAACGAGAGTATGTACCTGAAAGTCCTGCTTACAGGGTCCGTTATTTTACAAATGGAATATCTTATCAGAAACATTACTTTTAATTCTGTGTTAGAGTCCCAGCATCATATTAAGAATCAGAAGAAGCCTGCAATCTAGGAAATGTACAGAAAAATATATTGAAATGGGAGTCAGGGAATTGGATTCTCTAAGTATGTCTCAGGGAAGTCACAATAAATCTGAGCCTCATTGATGGAAGAAATAAAGGAAATTACTTTTAATGCACTGAAGTCTAAAGATTCAATGACTCTTTTGAGATAGGAAAAAAGACATTTAAAGGTACACTCCAATACAAAAGTTTGGGTACCACTAGGCAACTATACACTTGCATTTCTTAGGATATCAGATTTTTATGGATAGGAATGTACAGCTTATTAGTAAATAAGAATGAACAAAAATGATAACCGAAGTGATGTCCTAGTAGCAGACCTCACAGTTCAACCAATGTATTTATAAAGACATGCCAGGACAGGGAATAAATTGCAGGTCACACCAAGAAACAAAACATAATAAAGCATAATGTCTATTTTTATAAAATCACAGATTTAAACTCTGAAATATTCAGAAATATAATTTTGTAGCACTTGAGCAAATGAAACTCTCAGGGAGCCTTTGTAACATATTTTGACATACACTTTCTACTACGTGTCTTTCTGTATGAAAGTTTCTGTACTTGAGGGCAATGTTCAATCTTCTATTTATTCCTTTTCTCTCTCTTCTGATTCTCTCTCTCTCTGTCTGTCTTTCTCTCTCTCTCTCTCTCTCTCTCTTTCTCTCTCTCTCTCTCTTTCTCTGTTTCTCTCTCTCTTTCACCTCTTTCTCATTTTGTTTTTTGAGACAGGGTCTCACTATATAATTTGGATTGGCCTTAAACTCACTATGTAGGCCAGGCTGGCCTCAAGCTCAAGTGATTTTCCCACCATAGTCTTTTGTTTGTCGATACATTCAGAGTTGTCCAGGTTGAGGGCTTTGTCCAATAATAAATATTCTTACATAAATATTGGACTTCTTCCTGTGAAGACAAAAGAATATCTGATGTCACCAGAGTATTAACTGTTTAAAGGTAAACTTATGATCACTGAGCATGGTAACAATTGCAATTAATGTAATATAGAAAGTAGTAAATTTCAAATTTTTAGAAACAAAGTAGCTCCTGTAATTAGACATTTCATGATGGATTCCAAGATAAATCTTTCAAAATATTTTTTAAAGAAGAAACAATATGTGATGGTATAATAGCAAGAACTGAAACACTGATTCAAGACTTACAGATGGATGATATTAATTTAGAAAGGAAATATAAATAGAAGTAGAATAGGCGAGGGGATGGGACGGATGGCTGTCCACATGAGCTATTTGTTATATGGAAGGTAGCACTCTGGGCGAAGTTTACCACCTCCTCTGAGAACCACATTTATTTCACTTGTGGGCTGGAGAGCACCTGCTGTCGCTGTCCTCCTGCCTTGCCTCTCTAAGAGCACGTTGACCTGACTGATCTCTCCATATCAAGCCTGCTTCTTCAAATGTTCTGCAGGATAATCACGTTTGGAATCCCAATAGCTCAACTCAACCTTATTTCCTGTGTGCCTGGTTTTGCTGGATTCCAAAAGGCAAGGTTATTGTTTCAAAGATATCATGTTTCCTGAGTTAGGTGATGATGATTTCTACTAAGATACTATCCCCTCTGAATGAGGGCACATACATCTCAACTTCAGAACCAAGTCTAATGATAGCTTGCTTTCCTGGGCATCTGTAACCTGTGCTCTTTTTCACATCACACTGACTCAAGCCTTAGTTCCAGCAACTCATATTAAGAGGTTGAGAATGCCAATCAATAGTTTTCTGTGACCAGAAGCCTGATATAAAGTCTATCATTATTTGAATGCCTTGCTTTTCCCTCCTCAAGGGGAAATGAAAGGAAATGACCGAGCTCAGAAGTACTCACAGGTTATGAAGACACAGTGACATGTAACAACTCGTGTTCCTGCCCCTCCCACATCTCTTATTTACTTCATTGTGTTTCCAGATGACTAAGAACGGCACAGTGGAATCAGAAGAAGCTAGCACTCTTACAGTGGATGACATTTCTGATGATGATATAGATTTAGACAACACAGAAGTAGATGAGTACTTCTTCCTACAACCCCTGCCAACAAAAAAGCGAAGAGCACTGCTGCGGGCCTCTGGAGTTAAAAAGATCGATGTGGAAGAGAAGCACGAGCTGCGTGCCATCCGCCTGTCACGGGAGGACTGTGGCTGTGACTGCAGAGTGTTCTGTGATCCAGAAACGTGTACCTGCAGCCTGGCAGGCATTAAGTGTCAGGTAAGGGTTTGGATTTCATGACATCCAAAGACAGAACATTATGCACCCTCCCTGAAGTTAGCTGTATGCAGTAATGAGTTCCCCATATGCAGAAGGAGACTTTGCAGCAAGGTAGTTCAGGGGGAGAAAAATACTAATTCAAGCATTCATGGAGTGCTCATACTCTGTAGAAGGCAGCCCAAACTGTAGCTGAAGTAGTTGCAAGTATTTCTTCTTGTATTCACTTGTCATACCAGCTTGTTTGAGCTTTTTACAAATATTCAGGCAGACTTTGACATCCCTAACATTTGAATTTGTGTTTTCTCATTCTTCCATGATGTATAAAGTGATGATTAACTACAAGTAGTGTGGGCGAGTAGTAAAGTTGCTAAAGGGGGACCATAAAAGAAAAAGAAAACAGAAAACTAAATTGCACTCCTCTCTTTGCTGTTTGCCAAGTATATGTGAAATTGGCCAATCAGGTAAATCCCCTGGGCTCAGTTTCTCCATCTTGAACATGAACAGGCTGGACAAGACCAGATCAAGGTTGGCAAACTATCAACTCACAGGCCAAACCCAACCAGTCACATGTTTGTATAAGCAAAGTTTCTTAGAGCACTTCCATTTTGTTTGTTTGTTTACCAATTATCTATGGCAGATTTTATGTTTCTACAGCAGAGCTGAGTAGTAACAAGGAGTCTGCATAACCCACGGAACCTAAATATCTATTCTTGCTTTTGCAAAAACAGTGTGTGTGCTATCTACATATTGCATTCACTCCCTGCTACTAAGGTTTCCTTAACAAGCAAAAAAGGATTCTCAGGCTTTCCATCTGTCTCATTGTGGCAGTAATGATTGAGTAGAGGAATATAGGAGGGAAACAGAGAGAATTTTTTGTAACTTGGAAATAGTCTTTTAAACAGAGAAAAACCCATTTTTCTCCAAAAGGAATCTAATACTTGAGTTTATATGAGAACTTTTGGAAAATAGCCCTACCACTCTTATTTGGTTAATTACACGTTTAAAAGCTTAAAGGTTAAAATTAATTAAAAGAAAATTAAAGTGTGCTAACCCTTGTACTAGATGATTCTGTTTTTTATTCATCTTTAATATATCATTGATATTTTCTGAATAGTTAGGTGCTAGTATTTTATGCAGAAACAGCCTTTTCAATAAAGAGAATCATTCAGGAAGGTGAAAGAAAAGGATAGTTCCCATCAGCCAAGCAGTTGCTTAAGATAGATTCACAGAAAAGAGATTTATTCATAAGGAAACAGAGCTATGATGCTACCTCTAAAGTCTGCTACTACTTTTTATTGGGACCAGGAGAACTATATTAGAGTTGGCCTTCTCTTGAGCAGCACAGCAGTCTGTCTGAACTTGGATAAGCTGGGAAGCGTGGCAAGTATTTGTGCTGCCTGTATTCTGATCCATGAACAGTTTGATCTGTGGAATCTGAGACAATAAATGAATAGGAGTACCTATGGATTGCCTAGAATTCCACTTATCACCTAAGGTCTATCCAACAATACTCTTTTTGAATTATAATTTCTCTATCTTTAGAGCCCAACCCCTCAAATAGTTCTGGGATATTAAAGAGATGGACATTCTCTTCCTTTGAAAATCTTGTAGTCTAATGGAATGGGTGGTGAAGGGGGACAGCCAGGACCTAAACATGTGAGTCCACAAGTCATAGTCATAAATGCGCATGCCTACTGCAGCCCTGCAGGACACATGCTTGCACACATGTATCATGGGCCAGATATTGAGAAGGTAAACCAGTGACAGTGGATTGTTAGGGTGCATGATACCAAGGACTGTCAATGTGGCTATCTTGGGCAATGAAGCTCATTTTCTAATAAGCAAAAGGAAAAAGCATAACTCACATCAAAAGCATAAATTAGATGAAAAGTTCAGGTAAGAAGGAGTTCAAAAAGTTGTTTGTCTGAAGTTGGGCAAGTAAGCTGGAATGCAGGGGAAGGGAAAAATGTTTGGAGAAAAGATAGAAGCACTGAGAACAAATGAACAAGGTCAAAGACACATAGAGAAGGAGAAAGTAGGTAACGGAGAACAGAAGTGAAGAAAGTATTGGAAAAGTGAAACTACCCCTTTATCCCCCAAACTCATTTTTATTTTGAATATGGGTTTAAGAGCTAGTTAACTCTTATGCCTTAAGCCTTCACTTCCCCCTTTTCATTTCTATTTGAGTTTAACTGTCATTTGCTCTGACATAAGTGGAATAAGTAGATTATTTAATTCAAAGGAATTGCTGAAAAGTACTGGACTTTATTTGGTTTGTAATGGTTCCATGGTGCTAATCTGTGTTCTTCCTCCCCAGGTGGATCGTATGTCTTTCCCCTGTGGCTGCACTAAAGAAGGGTGTAGTAACACAGCAGGTAGAATTGAGTTTAATCCTATCCGTGTCCGGACTCACTTTTTGCACACAATAATGAAACTTGAACTCGAGAAAAACCGAGAGCAACAAATCCCCACACTGAACGGCTGCCACGGGGAGATAAGCGCACACAGTAGTTCCATGGGCCCTGTTGCTCACTCTGTAGAATATTCGATTGCAGACAATTTCGAGATTGAAACTGAACCCCAAGCTGCAGTGCTGCACCTGCAGTCTGCCGAAGAATTAGATTGCCAAGGAGAAGAGGACGAAGAGGAGGAAGATGGGAGCAGCTTTTGCAGTGGAGTCACTGATTCCAGCACACAGAGCTTGGCACCCAGTGAGTCAGATGAAGAGGAGGAGGAGGAAGAGGAGGAGGAAGAGGAGGAGGATGACGAGGATAAAAGAGATGGCTTTGTGGAAGGTTTGGGCACCCATGCTGATGTTGTGCCCCTTCCTTCAGTCCTTTGTTATTCAGATGGCACGGCTGTTCACGAAAGCCACACAAAAAATGCTTCCTTTTACGCCAACTCTTCAACTCTGTACTACCAAATAGATAGCCACATTCCAGGAACACCTAGCCAGATCTCTGAGAACTACTCTGAAAGAGATACTGTCAAGAACGGTACCCTTTCGTTGGTGCCTTACACCATGACCCCAGAACAATTCGTTGACTATGCCCGACAAGCAGAAGAGGCCTACGGTGCCTCCCATTACGCAGCTGCCAACCCCTCTGTGATTGTTTGCTGCTCCTCTTCCGAAAACGATAGCGGGGTGCCCTGCAATAGTTTATATCCCGAACACAGGTCCAGTCATCCTCAAGTAGAATTTCACTCATACTTGAAAGGCCCTTCCCAGGAAGGGTTTGTCTCCACATTGAATGGTGACAGTCACATTTCAGAGCATCCTGCTGAAAATTCTTTGAGCCTTGCTGAAAAGAGCAGACTGCACGAAGAGTGCATCAAATCACCTGTGGTTGAGACTGTCCCTGTTTAGTAGGTTAACTTATTCTGTTATAGGATCGCCTCTTCTACCTGAGGCACTGCATTTAATTGGATTTCCTGGGCTCATCATTGTTTAGACTGAAGACCGAAAAAATTTGGACTGTGATTAATCTTCCAGACTGTATTTTGTTTGCTTCTTTTTAGCTACATGACGGTGGCATTACACAAATACAGTCGCTATGGGGATTTTAAAAGATTTCAGACTGTTTTGATAGAAAATGCTACATTTTAAAAATGCGTATCTCACAGTTGCCTACCTGTCAAACTGTGCGAAACCTGCCAAGCTGTGCAGATCAGAGCTCCAAGTCTTGGATTATCGGGCCTGTGCAAGATTGTTACCTAAGACTGCAAAATAATAAGATTTAGAGTCCTAATTTTCGATATATCTGAAGAGAATGGTGACTTTTTAATGTAAAAGTAATTATTGTAAGAAAAAGATCTAATTGTTTCATGTGTATTTTATTTATGGTAGCTTAGAAGTCATGTTTTGATGAAAATGAACAGCAGCATGTTCATTCAAGCTGAAGATGCGGAGCTAGCACCACAGAGCATGCCCACTCGGATCGCATCTGGAATCCACTCGCGTTTTTATGATCCTGACTGTTCAGGTTTGCAGATACTTTCGTAAGGGTGAAATAGGCCTATTTTTGCTATTTTGGACAAATAAATGAGTCTATACGTGCAGGTCCTTACCCAGTTTTCTCTAGAGTTAAGAGTTAGGACAATCCTCCGGGAGGGGCCCAGTTCACTGCCCTCCCTCAGCTGACTCCCAAGGTGGAGGTAAAAGGAATTGCCTTTCTTTTCTAAATAGCATCATCTTGGTTCTTAGCTTGGACAGCACCTTTAAACTCTACCCCCTACATCAAAATGCACTTTAGTGCCCCTTCATGGTACCTCGTGTGGGGTGGGGACTGAGAACTCTTTGAGATGAAAAATTTTAAAAATTAAAAAAAAAAGATCTAAAACTATTCTAAGGTTCATACATACAGTTAACATAGAGGAATCATCCAGTGACACTTCTGAAGGAAAAATGGCTTATTTTCCTTCACCACTCTGAGGACCTAACTCGGTAAACGCAAGGAGGCTGCGGCAACATGGAAGAGACATTCTCAGCAAGTAGCCTTTTCTGCGGCGTGATCGGTCCATCTCTACAAATAAGTGTATAATGCGATTTCCAATTAGTGACTAGCTGATCGAAGGGGGGGCCTCTACCCAAATACTCAACTAGGCCTTACTTTTCTGAAGCATTTTGATTTGTCTTGTCTGGGACAATTGGCAGAACAGTCCAGAATGCATTGCATACGCTAATTACCTCACATTCTCTTGTTAAAGAGAACAGATAGAAATAAAACCTGCACTCCCCTAACACTGTTAGATTACCTGCACTTGGTTCACTAGAGGACTTCTAAGAACCCTTTCTTCTGTACATTAATTTAGCTAACAAAAGAGTGTGTTCTACTCCCCCTCCATGCATTATGACTATGCTAAATCTGTTTCACATCTCCGACCTTCTATTGTTATATCATTTCACACGTTTTATGACTCTTTGAAATGTGGACATGCCTTGCTATTGAGTGACTGCATCGCTACTTATTTTTTATGTCTTTTAGACTTGGATATTTAGAAATACGGATATAAATATATTGTAGATCTCAGTACCTTAAAAGTACTATTTTATTTGATTAAATTTTTTAAAAATTTGATTTGAAGAAAGTCCTCTGATGGAAAAGTTTCTACTAGAACTTGATGTGGAGAAAACATGTTTAACTGGCAGCTCTTCCATGGTCCGGTTAGCGGCTCTTGCCCCTTTTCTACCCCATCTCTGGACCAAGTTTGCAACCATTAGCATTCACATTGAAGAAGCTTTGGATTTGTTATGGTGTAGGCAACAGTAATTAGGTCAGGAATGTTCCATTTTAATGGTTAGCCAGGGCATCATTACTGTAACAGTTTTTAGTACTCGATCTCCAGGGTTTTTTTTCTCCTCCCCCTCTTACCAATACAATATAAAGAGCACAGGCACAAAGAGAAAATGGCGAGAGGTAATTGGCCCTTCACTCAAGCATACGAAAAAAATCGTGTGTTCCACATTTGCTGGACCATTACAGGCTCTGGAAGAGCCTACACATGAAGAACTCTGAGGTTATTCATGGAACACAGAGTGTGGAGATGGAGAAAGAGCCAACTCTGGATAGGGCAGAATTGCAAGGCAGAATGGCAGTCCAGTTTCTGAACAGATAGACATTGCTAGTTCAGCTCTTTTTCCTCAAGGAGGTGACTTCTTTATGTCTTACTATGTCTTACTATGTCCCCATTTTGTTTACAAAATGATGCTGACAGAAACAGAGCTTCGTTGCCTCTATCTATCTGTCTAATTGGGTTACAAAGTCACTGCCTTCCAAAGTATTTGCCATAAAACCATAACAACAACCCCTGCTTTAAATTTTCACAGACCTGAGTAAATCTTCAACATTTCCTACAAATAGTATACACAGGATGCCCATGATAAAAGCCCTCCAGTATAATTGTACCTAAACCATGCACACACACACAAGAATTCCACACACTTGAGAATGACGGATTTTAGGCAATGTCCAGTAATGAGTACTGAGTTTTCCTACCCTAAAATTTGGTCTGGTTTTATGATCTAAAAATACAGTCTAGAAAAGAGGATAGTTTTTAAGACTGCACTTTGAAAATATTGGGTTCGCGCTGCAAATAATACTAGTAATGGAATCATTTTGCTGTTACTTCCTTCCCCAGAACAGCTGAGAGAGCACAGTGTTCTATCTGAAATTTCCCATTAATAGCCTTCCATTCAATAGAAATTGCCCACATACCAGGAAAGTGCTACAGTTATTTTAAGCTTGTAAAAGGAAGAATCAAGTTAGATGCAGCTTGTTGCGATACTTATGATTTTTGTGCCAAGACACAATAACCTGGCCTGCGGCTGTTTATCGACCCCATCATATATCTAACCAAATCAGTCCTTTGTGACACACGGCTTTATATTCATTCATTGTCAATCGCAGAGCTTCCTGCTCCAGACCCTGTTGTTTTAGCACCAGCCCTATACCTTTAAATGGGGGTTAATTCCTAGTTATTATCCTGGCCAAATTGATTTGCAAGTCAAGTGAAAGGAGCAGTTTGCATCCCTTTTGTCACTCTTGATCTTCTTTGGGGGAAAGAAATAAAAAAAAGAATTTTACTTGAGTTTTTCTGCTCATCTTTTGAACATCAATTTCTAAATGATGGATAAAATCTATTTATTGCATGTCTTTTTGTTGATGGAAAAATATACGTAGTTACTTTTTAAAGGCCTGCCTTTTCTTTTCTTTTCTTTTTTTTGGTACTGGGAATCGAACTCAGGACCATTCGCTTGCCAGGCAGGCGCTTATGCCACTGAGCCATATCACCGGCCAAGCTTGTCTTTTCTTTGTGATGAAATTTCATATTTCCCTGGGGGATCAGTGACAAATAAAATGTGAAATTAATATTTTTTCATACGATAAGATTTTCTCTATCTTATATGCCATACAATATCCATCCCAATATGCCCCTCAAGAAATCCGAGTTGTAGAAACAGATTAATCAAGAAGCAAACAAATTATCTTAAGTGATTGCTTTCTTTAAAATTTTACACTCTGACAAATGACTTCTGGGCAAAAATCTTTAAATTTTCATTAAGCAGAAAAATACTTCATAATTAATACACTAATAATTGTTATATTACTGGCTTTTTAATGTTGATATTGCTATTCAAGTTTATGATCCTTTGGTCTCCATATTCAGAATTTATTAATGACGCATTTTTTTCAACAAATATTTATTAAACAACTACTGTGTTAGAGCAACTATTCTGGGTAAGAAAAAATAGTAAAGAGAAACTACAAATTCTAAAGAATCATGATAATAAAGGGTGGCATGAAATAAGCCTATTCAAATCTTTTTAATGTTTGATTTTATGATATAAAATTAGAAACTTGACAAAAATTCTTGTCCAATTATATGTGGACTGCAACTGCTGCTTTTTCCTAAATGAATGAATGAGCCTCACTGGATCCTCCTCTTTTCTCCTCTCACCTGAAATTTATGAATTAAATCTGGACTCAGCTAGGAGTGAGTCAAGTAAACAAGGGATTTTCAGCTAATTGCTACTTAAGTGTGAATCCACGTAAAAGAGGCTACATCGACACCAGCAAACTCCCATCCGATAGTTTCAAAGGGTGGTTGATTTAAGCATAATCCAAGAAAGATGCCAGGAAACTTCTGAAACAAAAATATAAAAAACAGTCACTTGTACTTATGTGTATAAACAGGCTATCAAAATAGCAAAACCCTATTCCATCTTCCATAGGCATCACCTGAAAGTGGAGAGCAAACCAAAGAGGTCCCTGGTTCTCCCTCACTTTGACCTTGGAATTATGCATCATCCAATTACTAGTGGAAGACTGAGCTCCTCAACAGGAAACTACCTTTTCAAAAGATACCACAAACTCCTTTTTCTATAAAAATATAACTTAATAAAAAAAATTAAAGTCGAACCTTAGTTTCTCCCAACAGCTTACATTGTCCTTAGAGTCAGTATGTGAAATACCCAGATTAATTGGAAAACATCTTTCTGCTCAAAGGCAAGACTTGACTCTAACTTTAAATCAGAGCTTTCTGTTGTATCCATCCCAAAAGTTTAAAGCCTTGGACATTCTTAGTTCTAGTACACATGTATAACTCTGACTGCATCCTTTTTCTGAGATCTGCTAACTTGCGCTGAAATGATATAAATCCCTAAGCCAAATGGCACAGCTCTGCACCAACAGCACAGCTCATCAGATGTTTTTTGTAGCATTAAAGAATTTAATTGACTTAATTGACTGAATACCAGCAATCTGAAAACTCACTAGAATTACAAAACTGTCAAGATGGGTGTGGGGATGGAACACATTTCATAAGTGGTGGTATCTCCTAGGAGGTAAAAAAAATTTCAGCATAGTGGGCAATGTCTTACAACACTAGAAAGCTCAGCGAGCAGGCAGTCAAAAGCCTAGAAGGGGTGGGCCAGACATCCTCAGCCCAGCCAGTGCTTATGTCAGCGGACCAGCACCCACGTCAACTGCATTTTACAATCTACAGGTCACTTGATCCTTTAGAAAATAAAAACACAGAAGTACACCATTATAAAGAAACTTTTAGAAAGAAACTCAAGCACATTTTATATTAAAATGACTAATAAATGACTTGCATTATTGTCAAAAATAAGGAATCAAGAAATAAAAGAGCTTTCAATATTTTATCAGTCAGAACTATATGCTCAAGGTGACTCGAAAGCAGTCACTTCTAATTTTTACTTTGACTCTTCTCATGGCTTTTTAAGAGAGACCGTAAGTCCAACTTCCTAAGCAATACAGTTGTTTTATTATTTTCTCTCTCTCTCTCTTTCTGTCTTTTTCTCTCTTTCTTTTTTATCAAAATTCAAAGCCAAAAGCTGCGAGTTGCAGGGGTTTTCCTGATGCTGGTTCTGAGCTAATCTAGCCATTACTAGCTGGCCTGTCTCGGGTGTCTGAGAGTTCCGGCTTGGATAGTGTGAAGGGAAAGAAGGGAGTACCCACAACCAGATTCAAAGTCTAAGCCAACACCCCTTTAAAGTTCATTGTTTGTATTTATGCTATTCTACTCTTTTACTTTGACTCTTCTCATGGCTTTTTAAGAGAGACCGTAAGTCCAACTTCCTAGAAGTTAGAGCCTAGAATTTTAGTTAATCTACATATGTGTTATATCCAGAAGAACTGACATAATTTCAAAGATATAAATCATGTTAGTAGCTACTTTCACTTGTAATAGATACATCACAATATAGGGTGATTGCTGTCTGTTTGATTCCCTACACGAGGTTATAATTCAAGAAAAGTAATGCTACTGTGTCACTTTGTTCTTGTCTTAATGAAAATATTCTGGGAGGACTAAAGTTGCAAAGGGATAGAGATAGAGTTTATTTTAAATAATATTCAACACACTAATAATGTAATTCCTCTTTATAATACTCATTGCCATGTTAATAGTAAAGTTATTTCAATAATTTTCACTTTAATGATATATATAAGGCCATTTAAATATTTCTTAAGATAATGTATGCTGATTAGAGTTAGGATGATGCAAAATTATGGTAGAAATTAGCCTTGCTTTTTGTCTAAAATAATTTACATAATTAGTTGTTCCTTTGAAACAGCATGATAGTTGGATGTTATTTGCCTTTTTCTTTTAATTTTTTCCCCAATATTTTTTATCTGGTTTGAGATTATCTTAAAATTTATTTCTCATGAGTATTTGGAGGCAAATCACCTTTGAAAATGTCTCTTTAAAAATTATGTAGCAATTTTTCTCTTCAGAGATCTGTAGGACATATTACTGTCCCACTAGACCAGCCACCCTTTTCTTCTACTCCTCCTAATATTGTTTTGTTATCTCTACATAGAAAAATATAAAAAAGGAAGTTTGAAAATTGTACCTTATTGGTACAACATTTTACCCAATTTTGTTTCGCTCCTCCCTTTATGTTGACCATGAAGTTTATTCCACAGCCTTAGCTCACCAGACTTTCAAACAAATGTACAGATCTATATACATTGTGCAAATTTATGTAAATATGAAAGAAAAGGAAAGAATAAAATTCAAATCTGAATTCTCCTAAAGAAGAAAACCTAAATCACTAAATCCATGAGATAATTTGCTGGGGTTTTTTTTTTTTTTTGTAAATTAGTGTTAATCCTTGAGTGATTTAATGGTTACCAAATGATATCTGAATTTTACACTTTTTAAAATTTAATAATTGGGAAACTCATTCTGTTTGTGCTAAAATCAAGCAAGGTTTCTTGCCAAAGGTTACTGTCAGAACCTTAATTTATTAGGTACTAGTCATGCCAAATGGATAGCTCAGAATGATTTAATCTTTTTGAAAATACAATGGCCAACTGTATGTGAATAATAGAAAGTTTCAGATTCTTCTGTATTCTTCAGTTTTTATAATCCTGACACTAGGAGAGCTCTCCAGAGGTCATGTGGCTCATCCACCTACCCCCAGGGAGGACTAGCATTCAAGCATGCCCAATAGGATAGATACCCATCTATTCTTACCATCTCTAGGGAAGGTGGTTTCCTTGGCAACACAATCCAACTCTTTTAGGTTTTCTTACAATAAGAAAATATCTTGGCCCGTCTTTGTGGCCTAGGCACCTGGCAACAGTTGTGGTTATTTGGATCATTATCCTGGGGCACTCCAGAGAAGTTAGCTTTTTCCTTACATCTGATGCGTATTACATAGGACTATGAATTTCCTAGCAAGTCAAAGTTTTAAGGAAAGATATACCTACTCAAACAATTCTCAGTTAATGTTACCTGCTTTTGGCAAATGGGGGTATAGATAGCTTTTACTCGTGTATGTTTATTTCTGTTGCTGTTAGACCAGGAATTAGGATCAAGAAAAGTGACTTTTTCAAATCCCCAGTGACAAACATCAGAACTAGAATCAAGGGATGCAACTTCTGAAGTGTTCGACTTTCTGAAAAGTTACAAATACGAAAAAAGTAATCGTGCACCGTGTTCTTCTTTAGCACCTTCTCGTTAAATCTCTCTTTAGCCTAAAATGACAAGTAAGAATCTAAAAGTTTTTCCACTCCTTCTGGAGAAGATGTGACGGTGACGAATATGATCTGGAACATAATGATTCCAGAGACTCACTCAACCACATTTGATCCCAGCCTTTGTCCTCATGCTCTTTCAACAATGGCTGCTTACTGTCTCAGGGATCAGGAGAATGATTGTTCAGATTATCACCTTGACAAGGCCTGAAAACGAAAGGAGGAGTCCTTGGAGGACAGTGATTTTGTTTTCTGACTACATCACTTGACCCAAGCACTCCCTGCTTTCAGAGCCTTTTTCTGTTTGCTCAGAGTTGACTCCAACTCAGAGGCAAAGCTGACCGGATGAGGAATATGGGGGATATTGATTTGGGGGAATCAACGTTCCCTTTCTCCATGGGATTTATTTCAATCTAGGTACAGCTGCTTATCTCCCCAACTCGGATGCTCTTGTGAAATGACAGCCGCCTTGCGGTGGTTGCTTCCCACAGCTAACACTCTGGGGAAATGACCCTTTCTGTTTTTTAAAAAAAAAAAAACTGTAAAATGCTCATGTAAAGAATGGTGAATAAAATTTGGCCCATGTTTTAATTGACTCTAGCCACCATTATGAAAATAAGTCTGAGGTGTAGTTTGTGAAACATGTTTCAAAAGTGTTTGATGTATAATAAATGCTAGACATTTACAGTACAGAAATAGTAAAAACAAAAAATTAAACCTGTAGATTACGGCTCTGTTCCTAAGAACCTCAGCCTTTATTGTGTCTTAGTAAAGTTAGTTGATCTGCTTTCTTTTTAGTTTATCGCATTTCTGGTGTAATAGCCTCTTAAGATAGAACTATTAATACATATGTACTGGTTAATGCCTGTTAATGCAGAAAATGGCACTTTGTTACTTCAGTGTGTTTCCTTCAATGTCACAGGGTATATCAATTTGACAGGACAGGTCATTTGACATTGGTCAAAAATACATTTTTGCCATATAATATGTATGTATAATTGGTTGCATAGGTAAAATGTCACCTTTTGCAATATCTTCATCTTCATTATAGTCTTAGACATCAACTATGTCTCCACTCTCCAGCTGCCATAGGAATTTGGTAGGTTTGCAAATTCTGGTGAAATCTAGTGAGCTGAATGTATTGGTAGATCAAATGATCCAAAGGACTTGGATGTTATTCTTCTGTCTGTGTTGAACATTCAGACATTAGAAATGGTCTTTATACAAGGGAAGTCTTTTTGGAGTATATGTATTTTATTTTATATTGTGTTTGTTTGATGCTGTAAAAAAAAAATGTAACTTGGAAAACTCAGAAAACCACTGCACTGTAAAGTATATTTTGGCATAATGGTTGGTTTTATCCTTCAATTAATTTTTTTATTATTACTTTTGCTTAATAGATATTTAATTACTATTATGTTTAATGATGTACAAAGGGAGGAAAATCAAACTATAGTCCATATGTAGTCATTTTATGCTGTTATCATGTTGCGTGTCACAGTTTCATGACTGATTTCTCTTGTGTATAAATTAAAATGTCAAGGATGCCAAAGGGTATATAAAATAAGCTACAATAATATTCAACAGAACTTAACCTGGACCTTAGGTTGTAATAATTTATTCATATTAGCTGTAGTTGTCTATATTTATATTTTCAGTATTTATTATGAATGACATGGAAATTCGTGTATTTATTGTGGCTTTTTATTGCAGTGTGTGTGTGTATATATATATATTACAAATAAGCATTTTTAAGTCTTATCCTTACATTTCTTTTACTAGTGGCACTTGTATTACGCTGTACTTTTTATTATATATTGTACAATATCTTGTCCAATTGTTTGCAGCAGAGTAAAACTGGTTTCTAAGTTATATTTACTGTTGAATTTGTGTTGCATTGTGTGTGAAACCTTTGTCCTTACGATTTGAACTACAATCCCTTCTGCTGTCTGTCACAGCACACAGAAGAATACCTCCTCTCTCTGTAGCAGATAACATTCTTGAGAAGTTGCCTGTGAAGCCAGTTTCTGCTGAGATGGCTCATTACATTATCATTTCAAAGATGTGTTAATTTTATTATGATTGATCCCTAAGTGGATATTCTTACAACACTTTTCTTTCTCAGCTTTTCTACCCATTCATCAAGTAATGATGTGTAAACAAACCTGAGGGCCAAAGGGGAACTCGCTATGTAAATGAAATTTCAGAGGATATTTTTACAAAGACAAATCCATTCTCTGTAAGTAGTATCCTTGAAATCTGCAACTTAGTAGTATGTTTTGCTTTGCTTACATCGGAATCTGTGTGATTTGATGTTTAGAATATATATGTACATGGAAATCTTTATGTACGCTTATGTGCTTAAAGATGTTGGTTAAAAATAACAAAAACTTACTTTCATTAGAAGTAGAATGAAGAGAAAAAAACTGCATTCATCTTAATCTTCTATTGTATATAGGTCTTTGACCTCAATAACTTGTTTTCTTACATCTAGAGATTGGATCTATATTTTCTAAATGAAATAATAATAATAAGTGATTGTGTAATCATCCTAAAGCTCAAATTTGCTGTGTTACTTACTCACTTAAAGTCCTCTGCTATGTTTTTTTCTCACTGCCAACAAAATAAAATCCAAACTCTTTGTAATGCCTCACAAGGTCAATTTACATGTAGGTACAACCAATTTATCCAGCCTTTTTGGTCGTCAAACTATCTCTGCTGTCCAAGTCTCCCCTTGCCTACAAGACAGAATTCTTAAATTTCACCTGCTTCTCAATTTCTCCCACTTCTGGATAGCTTGCTACTTCTGTACAGAATATTACCCACAAGCAAACTCATGCTGGCAGCACAATAATAATGACCACTGACCTAGCTTTCAAGGGGAAACTCAAAGGTCTCTTCCTTTATGTTGCTCTTTTCATTCTCTTGCAAATTGATGAACTTCGCTTTTATGCACAATGCAGTCATTTACTACAGTCCTCTTGTCTATTTTATTTTATGATTTTGCGTTTCTGAAACAGGATCTCATTATATAGTCCAGCCTGACCTCTGCACAGAATATTCCTCCTCAGCCTTCTGAGTGCTGAGGTCACGGTTGTGCACCCACCATACCTAGTTACACTGGACCCATTTACATATATCCTCCCTCCTCATTGCTCTGAGGTCAGAACACTTGCCTCATGACTTGCCATGTTCTTGGCATCCAGCTTAGTGCCTGAAACCTAGAAAGCAGTTAGAATATGTTTACTGATGCATGTGAAGTACAAAAGTAATACAGAGTAGAATTCTGTGGAGCAGGTCGGATGTGGGAGACATGGCTGGCTGAAGGGATAGAAAAAGTGACAAATTCAGAAAGGAGAATTTCAGCTGGTAGGAGCATCCTATACTCCACAAGACAGAATAGTTTGAGGACAGCCAGATCTCTCTCTTTTGTACAAGTCATTCTTTTCTGTGCAGGACAGAGAACTTTGTTAAGAATAAGTGACTTATCTCAGGAATAAATGATAGATCAAATGAGAATGTATTTAGCTATTGTACAGCTATAAAGATGAGTCCAGCCCTGTGTGGTAGTGCATGCCTGTAATCCCAATGCTTGGGAGGCTGAGGCAGGAGAATCGCTGCAATTTCAGGGCCACCCTGGGCTACAAAGTGAGTTCAAGGCCAGCCTGAACAGCAGAGTAAAACCATGTGTCAAAAACACAAAAAATGATGAGTCCAATGAACATGACAAATGCCCTTAAGGTAATAGGAAAATCTTGAAGATAGTAGAAGAGGTAGGCGAAACAAATAAGAGTAATGTTGGCTGTATGGTTGCCCTACATAGACAGTTTGGCAGGATGGAAATGCCAGAGCAAAAATTTTCCCTGTAGCTATTGCAACTCTTATGTAATGAAAAAATAATAGCAGAAGTAAAGGACCTCCTATAATGAGGATGCTGTTGGAGAATGAGGAGACAAGAGGGAAAGAGGTGGGAAAGTATCCCACAGACCAGCAAGGAAAGAGCCTATGCAATTACAGCAGAGCAAAGATCAATTATTTGAAGACCTATTAACATGTGGGAGATTAGTGATAGCAAGAAGATTGGGAGCTTGAAATACTGTAGGTGTGCATGGAGAAGGGCATAAAAGATAGACATCAATAACAGAAATTAGGATGTTATAAAGAGGGAGAGATACATTCATTTTGGATAAGTCGAATTGTTGCTGAGATACTCAGTGTAAACAACATGGCCCAGAGGAAACATGAGTCTGGAGCTTGGATAAAAGTGTAAGGTATGGAGCAGGTGAGGATTTTAAGAGGGTGACACCTAGAGAGAAGGCAACATAGCACAAAACTTTCCAGAAGGCGAGTGTTGCAGGCTGGAGAGCTTGGCATGCAGGACTTTTCTTAGGGAGCAGTACAGCACTACCCAACACAAAGATAGTGTGAGCCACAGATGTGAACTGCATAGGAAAATTTAAATTTTTTCACAGCCCCATTAAAACCAATAAATAAAATGAAATTATTTTTAACAACATATTTTATTTAATCTACTATATAAAAAAATCCTACACGTCATTAATATAAAAATGATTGGTAACATTCTGTGTTGTTTGGTGCTACCAAGTCTTTAAAAACAGGTGTATATTTTGCAATCACAGCAGGCTTCTCCTTGGAGTACATGCGTGTGGTGGGTGGGTGCTCTGTTTGGACAGTGTCGGTCCCCACCGTCATGCATTTTCTGTGCTGGGTGCTCTCTGGTAGGTGCTGACAGGTGATGCAAAGGGATTTATAGTTTGTTCCCATTTCAACCTATCCATCCACAAGGTAGTACACAGACCTCCTTCCTCTCCTCTTCTAATCTCGCTTTTTCGGTTCTGTGACTAGTCTGCCAGGCCATCCTCCTCTACCCACAAGTCCACGTACAGTACAGTCTGAAAGAGCCACTTCTCCTTTCATGCAAGAACTCTGTTTTTAAATGTTTATTTTTATTAGTACATATTTGCAGTTCATAAAGATTACGTTCACCGTGGGGAGTAGATGCATGCACATAACACATCTTAATTCTTCTTCATTCTCCTCCTCCTTCTCTTCCTCCCCCAACCTCCATCTCTTGCCCACCTTTCCTTCTGTGAAAGATCTGTCTTCCTGTCTATTTTAGGGCTTTACCTCCCACTGTCTTTCAATGTTACTTCGAAAGCAGCAGTAGATGTGCCATGCGTTTTTTACTCACATCACACCCAATTATGAAGCCATCTATCCTTAAGCTGTACCTATGTGCCATACGGAGTGAGGTATGAACTGAGGCAGAGAGGCTGACATAATAGTGGTGAAGGAAGAAGACAAGGTTCCTTGCTCGTGCAGCTTCTCAGTGCATAGCTTCTGTTCTCACACCAGCTTATTTCACAGTATAGTGTCTGCCTGGTGATGTGGACCAAGCAGCAGTGCAGGGTGCACTGCAACCAACACCACCTATACTCACAGACCATTTCTGTACCCGCTCAAAGCTGTCAGCTGTTCACAGAATGGGTCAAAGCACTGTTCCCGGATGCGCTAGATGCTGCATCCAGGGCCCGAAGAAATTTACCAGGCATTGCACTTCTCTGTGCATGCTAAGAGGTGCAGTACATAATAATTAAACTCTACTGTAAAGGCGATGTCGTCTAGTCCCCCAACCACAGGGTCCCTAAAGATTATTCTGGTGTAGCAGACCCCTGATTCTTCACAGAGTTTATCTTCTGTCCTCTGTAGGGCAAATGTCTTATCAAGACCACCAACATACCAGCAATCCACTATTCATCTGGTATGTGTAGTGTAATATTACAGAGGAGTGGAATTTTGCCCAATATCCAGAGAGCTTAGATGTCTTTGTACTACATATTATGACAGATTGCAAAGCTATATATATGTTGCTAATTCCACAGGTATCCAAATCATCTCTGATTTTCTTTTTCTAATTGGAATAGAAAGGAACACATAGTGGGTTTGGCCATCTTGCTATAGTAAAGGTACTACATCTAGCATAGCAACTACAATTAAGGCTACCACCTGATTGAATGTGTAGTAAGCTACTCCAGTTCTCCAGGGTCGATCTGGGTTGTGCCAGGGCAAGTCACTACATCAAAGTAACTTAATGTGCGTATGGTGGGGCCACCACCTCAATGTCTTTTAGATCTTCAAGAACAACACTATTTTCCACTACCACCCTGTGATAAAAACTCATTTTTTATTTGATGTCTTGACTGAAGTCTGGGGCAGTTGTAGTTTCAGAAACTTCCACCTGGCTTTCCCTACTATAGTAATCTCTGCTCCACAAGCAAAATGTCTATTTCTAGAATTGTATGCATACCAAATATGCCTACCTCGAGTATCTACCTAGAGGCTGGGAAATGATCCCTGTGTAGGTCTCCAGACCCAGTGCACTGACAGTAAACTCTGCTTGTCCCCACATGCTCCCCATGTTAATAGGGGAGAGGTAGGATGTCAGCTTCCATCACTGTGACAAACTACCTGGAAAAGTCAATTTAAAAAGGGAAAGATTTATTTTGGTTCATACCTCAGAGATTTCAATCCATATTTGGCCAACTGGTTCCTCTGTTGTGGGCCTGAAGTGAGGCCGAACATCATGGTGGAAGGGCATGGTGGAAAAAAACCAACATGGCAGCTGGGAAACAGAGATCCAGGTAAAAATCCAGACGGAAATGGGCCAGGAACCAGGTATACTTCCCAGTTCATGCATCTGTCATCCACCCACTTCAACTAGACCCTACCTTCTGTTTCCATCACCTCCTGCTAATGTCATCAAATTAAGATTTCATCAGTGATCAGTGAGTGCATTAAGATTAGTGTCCTTGAGATCTAATCACCTCCTCAAAGCCCATCAACTTGCGTTTGGGGGACTTTTTAGATCTAAGCCAGGACATGGGTCATGGTGAGGGGGCATTAATTCTCCCAGTGTCAGTGCCAACTCAGACTTAGTGTCAGACATTCATGTAAATACTTGAGTCTTTTCCTTTCCTTTGTACATTGTTAGCCAAATGAATCGTTGTAGGTCCCTTTTAGGAGGCACAAGGGGAAGATCATCATGTATACTTACGTGGTGTAGGTGGGCCCTTGCCCCAGAGAACTGACCTCATTTTTCAGTCAGTGGGTCCTAGATCTAAAAACTAACTCATGTCTGGAAAGAGGGCAAAAGTTGACAACATCCTATTGGAGTGATTACATTAAGGCTCCTGGTTATTTATCCTTTTTTCTTGTCTTGCTATGAACTGAAAAATATCCTTCATGCTTGCCTGTCTATTTTGTCCATAAAGGTAGCAGGTTCTATTGAATGTCCTCAGAACTGTCTGTGGGTCATGACCCCTTGGATGTCTCTTTTCACTGCTGTTATGGTAATTGCATCCGTCTAGCTTTTAACAGGGAAGTGCTACCACCTGCTGTCTATTGGTTTAGGCTTTTTTCATTCCCACAGAACTATCAGCATCCAGATACAGTCAGCAATGGGCTCTACACTGCTAGCAGTGGCAAGTGGTACAGCTTCACAATCATTTTACCAACTGCTTTTATGAACCATTCCTGGCATTGTGTCAGACTGTGGATTTTCTAGACACTGAAGTGAGGTTTGACTTCTAGGATATTTATCAGGTTTCAACACATGTATGAGGCAG